GGGACCTGACGAGGTGAGGCGCCGAGGGGCAGCCGCGGAGGGGCTGAGTGCGGGAGACGCTGTGCTCCGGGGTGGGGGGAACCCTGAGACTCGCCGTCGCCCTGCGCGGGGCCTCAGACCCAGTGTCACCGTGAGACGGAGACACTGTGGGTGTGACGCCCAGGTCCATTGTCAGCCTGTGTGTGACCCCAAGACGCTGTAACATGGGATGATGGGGAAACTGACTGAATATGACCCCAGAGATGCTGTGTCACAGTATGGGGTCACACACACACGCGCACGCACACACACGCGCGCACACGCACGCACACACAATGGCACTCGAGACCCAGAGTCACACCACGAAGTTGATACAATGCGGAAAGGTGTGAATTTACCCTGAGGCCAAGTAGGACCCCAGGAGGCGCTGTTTCAAGCGCGTGGGCCCCCAGGCTCTGTGTCACGGGGGCACAAGGACACTACCGGAGTGAGATGGAGAGTGTCCTGTGTGATGCCGCAGCCATACGCGTGGTGTTTAGTATGTCAGGTGACATTCTGTGACCATGCGGGAGACTTACATGTCATTGGGCCTGGATGGACATGACACTACGGATATCACACTCCACATGCGACAGATGCTGACTAACTGTACAAGTCACTGTATGAATAATGCTTCGCATTCGTCAGTTTATTCAGCATATATGTCTGAGTGCCAAGCACTGTTCCAGGCACTGGGGGTAAAATGGTGCACGAGGCCCAGCCCTGCCTTCAAGGAGCTTGGTGCCTGTAGCATCGGGGTTGTTCATCAGAGATGCCCATGCCTCCTTTGCCTTCAGCTCTCCCTTCCCTTCACACATGTAAGAGCTCTCTAAATTCTAAATAAGTGATAACTGAGATGTTATATGTGTATGAAAGTATTCAACAGCAAGAAAATACTGGATAAAACCATCCTTGATGCTAGACATACTGAGTATAACACACACAAGCAGATGCTCAGCCAATATTGTTTTGCTATCCAGTCAACAAGCTCTAGTGCTACACACTGTGGGATAAAATACTATAGACTGACTAGTGAAACTAGACCCTACGTTTGACTCTAAACAGTAACTAGGACCTTGAGAGCTCAGAGAATAAAAAAGAATCAGAAAAATTCTAGGTTCTCTTCTCATATGACTTATGGACATGTAATTTCAGAAAGTGTAATTTGATATTTTAGAGACTGTCTGCTCTCTAAAACCTAGTGAATTGTTTACTTTTTAAAGCAAGAATGTTGGCAGTTCCTGCTCATTTTCTTATACTCCCAATCTGGTGATTTCATGGACTTGAGATGTTATTTCTAAGGGCCTCAATTGATATTCTTTGAATTTTTAAATTTAGAAATGAAATATTTTTTGATGTTGAAACTACTCCCTACCCACATTAATAAATAAAAATTATACCAGTTATAGTATATATAGTTATAGTATATATAGTTATATGCTAATACAGTACATTTTAGTTACATATATAAATATGATATATAAATAAATATTTATATATAGTTAATCCCTAGTTCTTTTTGTTGGTGAAGTTTTTTAAAACTACCAAGATTGAAAGAGTAATATCTGCAGCAATTATTTCTGTGCTAAGAATTAACCATTCCAAATGTCTCAGAAGAACTGAAGCAAAGCCATTTTGAAGCCAAAGGAGAAACATATTGAATTAAAACAGCCCATGTATTGTGGTTGAATCATCTATCCAGGCTCTATTTAATGCAGGGATTGGGTTGCACATTTTATGTGCAAATTCTTGAAGGAAAGGATCTGCTTTTCCACTCTCAGCAGCATTTGCCATTTAGGAAACCGTGAGGTTTGAATTCAGCATCCAGTTACTCGGTCTCTGAAAACCAGCTATTTGCTCAGAGGCTGGGCAGAGGGCCAACATTTGGATTCCAAACCAGCCTCAGATATTAGTGGATAGGTTTTTTTTTCTCTGTGTTACAGAAAAATGATGTATCTGAACGCTGAATTGAATTATGTGCTGCAGGAAAGATCAAACCCCTGCCCTAAGTAAATTGACCCCGTAATACAAAGTGGGCTGGGAAGAGAACAAAGAGATAGTACTTTTGATATGATTGGTGACTTGGGACAATCTTCACCTCTCTGCCTTACCTCTTTCCCTTTGTGCCTCAGTTTCCTCTGATGCTTGTTAAACATTAGTCCTCGAGCATCAGATGAGGAATCTGTTTATTCAGTTGTGGGAAAGGTGATGGAAAGAAATACTAGAACGGTCATGCTAGAAGAGAGATTTTCTAGACTAGACCAGCTCCGTCATTTTATAAAGGAAGAAACTGAAGGATAGTTGGAGGGTGCGTCAGGATATGTCTCAGGTCTCCTCCCAGCTCCTCCCTGTCCAACCGTCTTATAAAATCGCTGCCCATTCAGCCTGAGTTGTTCCTGGACACTTACTCTTCAGGTTGGACTCAAGCCCAAGTCTCTATAAGGTTTTTTTGGTGTGTTTTTTTTTTTTGTATAGCAATGAAATATCTTTCACTAAGTAGTTCCATATGGAACTGAAGCAGGAAATAATCGGTAGTAAAAAAAAAAAAAAATCCCACACCCTGGAGACTGGTTTAGTTTCAAAACCCTAGGGTAGCCGCTCTCAAACAGCCCTGCTTGGGGATCAGAGACATCCTGGGATTTGACAGGCTTCCCATCCCCTCCCTGGAACACCTAGGCCCAGATTCCCCTTCCTTAGTTTATGCTTGAATTGAACATTTGACTTCCTGGAAGCACCGCAAGGCAAGTCATCTTCTATTTTCAGTCTCTGTTTTATAGTTGCAAGAACCACCCTTGAGAAATCTTTAGGTCAGACTCTGCTTGATGGCTTTGAAATTCCCCCCACCCAACCACTATCTCCTTCACTTTCATCCCTCTGCGCTGATGGAATTCCTCCACTCTTGCCAAAGGACTCCTATACTCTCGCGTGCCCTTGCGCACATTCACATAAATCCATACCCTTTTCACTTGGATCACATGCTTTTCTTTTACTTCCTTTGTTGTTACTATATTTCTTGGAAATTAATAATTTTAAAGCAAGGGAAAAATTCTTAGAAGGCAGGACTAGAGCTTGTAAGCCTGCCTTATGATAATCAATAAATTTCAATAATATAAATCCCACTAGTGTGTTAGAACTGGAATGACCATAGTAGACCAGAAAAAGAGACAGCATCTTTTGCTTCTATGAACACTCTTGTAGGATATCTGAAAAGGAGAGAAATTAACTAAAAAGGTGATCATTCTGGCCCCACCATTCTGTCCCTTTTCTGCAAATGATGGCAAGCCAGAAAGGTAGGGAGAACCCTACCTCTTTATTACCCATGAGCCATCACCAATTTCTACATGGGCTACTTCCAAAATATCTCCCTTGAATTCATGCCATTCTTTGCCCCCACTGTCACTGTTATGGTTCAGATTCTCCTGTCTCTTGCTCGCAATTTTGAAATGGCCTCCAAATTGGTCTTTCTGTCTCCAGTCACTTCCACTTCCCACCCTTTCACAGATTTATGTATATCAGCATGTCATAATGCATCCCACTCTCACTTAAAACCTTTTGGTGGCTCCTAGTTGCACTCAGGGTAAAAACCAAATTTCTCAGCAAGGTCTATGAGGTGCTCCTCTCTTCTCCAGTCTGATCTACCCATGTCCTGATACACCCTGTGTTCCAGCAACACTAAACTGCTTGTAAGTCCCCTACTTTCTCTCTCTGTACCTTTTTGCATCCTTGGAATTTTCTCTGCCTGCCTGGAAGGAGGCCTTCTCCTCCCTTCCTCATGTTTGCATTTACTCATCCAGTCTCAGTTTATTATCTCCTCTGTGAAAGGAGAGATTATTTTCTCTGACCTGCTCTGGCCAGATCAATCACCCCCTTTCTATAAGCCTTGTTCATGAATCTGGTGTTGCATCTGTAATGTAATTGTTTGTGTCTATATTACCCAATAGACTATGAGTCTCGGAGACCAGGGTTTTTGCCTTATTCAAAATTTTGTTCCTAGCTCCTAGAAGAATATGGTATTACATTCATTCTTTCATAGAAATATGTATTAAACTTAGGCATAGAGTAATGAGAAAAACATCTGTTTTCTTGTCCATGAAATCCTTGAGCACTGAACCTTATCTTGTCCAGCTTCCGACATGGAGTCTGACAACTAGCAAGTAACCAGTTATAGAGTGACTTATTAATGAACAAATACATCTCAAGCCTCTGTGCCTTTGTACACATTGGCCCCTGTTGGCTCAAAAAAACATTTTTCCTCCCTTCTTTGTTCTAGCTCCATGGGAAACAGTATGGCATAGTCAGCTGAGAACAGGCTTCAGAGTCAGGCAGACATGGGTTCATTCCTGGCTTTGTTGCTAACAGTGTGACCTTGTTTTAGTTTCTTCTCCTGTAAAACGGGCACGATATCCCTGGCCCATGTGACTCAGTTGGTTGGGCATCATTCTGTGCACCAAAAGGTTGCCGGTTCAATTTGGGGTGTGTACTAGAGGCAGCCTGTCAATGTTTCTCACATAGATATTTCTCTCTCTTTCTCTCTCCCCTCCTCTCTTCCTGTCTCTCTAAAATCAATAAAAACATATTTTTAAAAAATTAAAATGTGCATGATAAAATCTAAGAGTTGTTGAGGGAGATTAAAGGAGACTATGTGTTTAAAGCACTTAGCAGAATACCTAATACCTGGTGAGGGCTCAATAAGTAGTAGCTATCAATATTTTAATTAATCCTTCAGGACTCAGATCAAGTGTCATCTCCTCTGGGAAGTCTTTCCTTATACGTTCTAGCTCCCACATGGGTTAGGTGCCCTGCCTACAAATTGCTATAGCGTTACATAGCATTATATGCTCACTTCTCTCATAGCATGTATCACAATTGTTGCAATTAATTGAACAATGTTTTTGAGCTTCTACCATATTCTAAGTATTGAATATAGAATGATGAGAGAAAAAAACATTTTCTGGATTGGGAACTCCTTGAGAGCTGGACCCTTTCTTGCCTTTGTATCTCTAGCCCCTAGAATAATGCCTGATATACAGTAATTGACTGGTAGAGACTGATTCATTGAATGAACAAATGAATAGATCTACTTTTGTTGTGTTGGCAGTTTTCATATTTTTTGTGTATTGGTTAGAATTTTCCCTGAGTCTCCAGGGGCTCAGCATTTCATTTTTAACTACTCTTAATGTATACACAGCGTGCCAGCCTTTCCTAGGTAGTGGTTGTATCGGTAGGTGAGATGATCCTAGTCTTCTCTTTCAGGTTCTATGACAAGGTGCTTTCTCTGCATGAGGATTCAGCGACCCCTGTGTCTAACCCTCTGCTTGCATATACTCTCATCAAACGCCTACAGTCTGACTGGAGGAATGTGGTACATAGTCTGGAGGCCAGTGAGAACATCCGAGGTAATGAGGAGGAGGGCTGGAGGGTAAAGAGAAGATTCTATCTCCTGACTCTGGAAAGGAGAGAGATTCTGATGGGATGTGATGAAGCATAATGAAGTGGGTAGGTATTACTTGATCTCCTTAGCTCTAATTATTACAAAGAACAAGGTCCTCTTGTTAACATGTTTATAGAATTTTACATTAGAAAGTACTTTCATATCCATTATCTCACTTGATCTTCACTACAGTCCTGCAAAGAATGACAGGTTATATCATCCCATTTACATAGATGAAGAAAGTGATGTCTTCTAATTTCTCTTTTGTTAAGTTGCCACTACAGTGTGATCTGTAGCGGGATCACTTTCCTAACTTACTCTACTTTGTACTTGAACACGTTTGTTGACTTTGGGGAAGTTAAGAGGAAGAATTGTACCCGAAAATAGCAAGACTCCTGGAGACAGATAGGGTGGGACAATGGGGTAAAGTGTGCGCCTTAGTTTTTACTCCGCTCTGTGCCAGGAACTGCGCTTGCCGCGGGGAAAAAAAGCAGATCAGACTTTATCTTTGTCCTTGAAGTATGTGGTCGGGTGACTGTGCCTTGCACGTATTAAATGCTCACTGCCTGCTTTTTGAATGGTGGATTGTTATCACGACCTTTACAGCTCTGAGGGATGGTTACGAGAAGGTGGAGCAGGACCTGCCAGCCTTTGAGGACCTTGAGGGAGCAGCAAGGGCCCTGATGCGGCTGCAGGACGTGTACATGCTCAATGTGAAGGGCCTTGCTCGAGGCGTCTTTCAGAGAGTCACTGGCTCCGCCGTCACTGACCTATACAATCCCAGCCGACTTTTCTCCCTCACGGCGGACGACTGCTTCCAAGTTGGCAAGGTAACAATAAGCAGAGAGAGGGTTAATGGCTCAGCTCTGTTTTCTTGTAGATGAAATAACTACATCCTGATTGCTTTTACATGTTTCTAATCCTGACAGCAAACTTGGAAATTTGTTGTTATTCCCCAAAGAAACTGAGGTTCAAAGAGGGTAAAGAACTTGCCTAAGGTTTCACAATTTTAAGTAGAACTAAAATTTGAACCCGGGTCTTTTAACTACAAATCCCAGACTCTTTCCATGACAAATAAATTGATCATACACATAGGGCACTACCGAGTGGAAGGGGTGTTATTAGCCAGGACAACAAACATAACCTGGAACTGTCTTGGGTGAGATAGTCCTTTGGTCACCCTAGATATAGCACCCTGCCCGTCGATGAGCAGCTGGGTGGAAAGGAGAAGCAGAGTTAAGAGTGGGAGAAAGGGATAGGAGATGGCGATGTGGAGGGAAGATCATGGAAACTCGGCCTCCTGAGACTCTCTGGAATCTCTTGCACATTTCCTAGGCATTTAGAAATACTAAATTAAAGTAGCAACACAAAACAGGCCATTCACTCTAACATTACTGGAGGAAATAGACTTCAGGAAGCTTCCATATGAGATATTTAACTAATCTTTGATCATAAGTCATAAGCACACTTGAGGTCATTTTACAATATACTCTTTGTTAGCTTTTGCCTTAAGAAGTAGTAGAGTAAATCCTTTTTGATTTTGAAGATGCACATTGCAGGAAAGTGATTTTTTTTCCAGCTCCTGTAGTGTTCATTAGCAGATCTGAAAGTGAACCTCGTGTGTCCTCATTCCAAGTTTTGAGGATCAGTCTTCCAAATTAATGCAGCATAAGTTGCCCTAAGCCTCTTTGTGGACCATTTCCCCTTTTCTGAGACCCTGAATGGAATCAGAGCTCAATCATCATGTTCACGGCTAATTTCGATTTAAGCCTGTTAAAATAGTTCCATGTTAGCATATGCTTCAGTAGTGAGGCCTTTCTGAGACTAAAACCATATGTTGAAAATTTAGTAAGTCACTTCCTGAAAGTTTCACTGGCAGTCTTTATTTCTGTATTTACTTATTTTGAAAGATAAAACATTATCTTTATATCTGTAATTATATCTGTAATTGAGATGAGACATATGTTCAGATTTTGCTTTATTTGTTACAGATTTTTTTTCAGGTTTTTACAAAAGAATTAACACAGAGCTAAATAAAGCCTCACTTCTTTTCCTTCTCACCACCCACTACCATTTCTACTCTACTTTACCCAGGTGCCAGACAACTGTTGTCCTGAACTACACAGTATATACTCTTCTGAGTCCAGCTTCTTTCACTCAGCACATTATGCCTGTGAAATTCATCCATGTTTGTTGCATTTACTATTAGTTCATTGCTTTTTATTGCTTAGTAGTATTCCATGGTATGAATATACCACAAACTGTTCATCCATTCTCCTGTTGATGGATACTTGGATTGCTTCCAGCGTGGGCTACTGTGACTAGAGCAGCTATTAACATTCTTTTGGAAGTTTTTCTGTGGACGTTTGTTTTCATATCTCCTGGTTAAAAACCTGGGAGTGGTGTTGGGTCAAAGAATAAGCTTCAATGATTATTCATATGCGGCCAAATTTGTTTCATCTACTTGTCTCCAATTCCCTCCATCATTGTTTATTTTAAAGTGGATCTGTCCTTCTATTTTCTGAAATTCTTAATTGTCTAATACCCCTACCCTACTGTTGTGTCTGTTGACTCTTGTTCATAACCAATTATTTCCTGATATGGTTTATTATGTTTGATTGTGAGCTTATTTTTAGCAGGACTTTTTTCCCCCTAAAAGAATCTCTGTGCCCAGAATTGTGGGAATATCTCCCCAAAGAGCTTTAGGTTTTCTTCTTTCAGATGCTCTGGTGGTATCACTGGACTTAGATCCTTTTTTTGTTTTTGCTTTTTAGCTCTACATTACATCCTCATGACTTATTTATTTTATAACTATTATAACTGGAAGTTTGTACCTTTTGACACCCCCCCTCCCCAATCTGTTCTGTGTTTCTGTGGGCTTGGGTTTTTTTGTTTGCTTGTTTTATATTTCACATAAAAGTGAGATCATACGGTATTTGTCTTTGTCTGTCTGACTTATTTCACTTAGCATAATGCTCTCAAGGTCTATGCATGTTGTTGCAAATGGCAAAATTTCATTCTTTTTATAGCTGAATAATATTCCATTGTGTGTGTAATATATACAATTTTCCTTATCCATTTATACATTGCCATCGATGAGCACTTAGGTTGTTTCCATATCTTGGTTACTGTAAATAATGCTGCAATGAACATGGGGGTACATATGTCTTTTTGAGTTAGTGTTTTCATTTTCTTCGGATAAGTACCCAGAAGTGGAATTACTGGATCAAATGGTAGTTTAATTTTTAATTTTTTGCAGAACCCCCGTACTGTTTTCCATAGCAGCTGTACCAGTTCACATTCTGACCAACAATACACAGGGTTCCTTTTCTCTACATTCTCGCCAACACTTGTTAGCTCTTGTCTTTCTGAAAATAGCCATTCTAACAGATGTGAGGTGATATTGTAGTTTTGATTTGCAGTGAGCTTAGATCTATTTTTATATTGATTTATTGGCCTGAGGGTTCCTTAACTGTATGAAAAATGTAAATTCACACCCTACACTCATTCAAAGAATAGGCTTAAGGTTGTGAATATTCTAAGAAGATATTTTATTTTCCTAAACAGAGCCCAGATAGAAACAAACCAACTTTCTTGTCTCTTTGTGACAGTGAGTAGACTTTTTCTGGTCTACTCTTTTTCTTGAGGTATAGTTTTTCATGGGTTTCAGTTTTATGAATGTGTCCTAGGTTTTGGGAAGTCTACAGATGGCTCATCATCTGTCCTCATGTGGGCATTACAAACTAAGGTTAATAAAGTACCAAGGTTACTAAGACTAACACCACCCCCATCCTATAGGCAGCTTCAGCATCTGCTCATGAGTTTATTGCTTGGATTTTCAGCTCCCTTTTTGTTTCTGGTACCTGGGTGTTTTTGATTCTTTCTTGAAAATATATAATAAAATGTTTGTTATGTTTTATTCAAAATTTCGAAGGCTTTGTGGTTCTGGAAGAATTCCAATTATCTCAATCTTTCTCATGGAAATCTTAAATAAATTATTAACTTAGCAGAAAAAGTTCAATCATTTTTTATTATCATTCTTCAACTCAACCCTGTCACAAATAAGAAACTCGAGGACCAGAGAGATAACATAGCAGGTAAAGGGCAGACCTGGGATAGGAATTGACTTATATTTAGCCTACAGAGTCATGGCATCTCTATGTTCTGCCATCTTCCTGCCTGTCTGGAAATTAGACCTGAATCTGATCATTTTGTAAGAGTCCTTCCAACTCTGCAACTTTATAATTTCATGCCTTCTCTGACATAAATTTCCAGGAAATTCCACCAGCAGTTCTGGTATTCTAGTTAGCTGTAAGCTATTAGGAGACAGGTGCTATGTCTAGTACATGTTGCCATATTCCAACATTTAATCTAGGACAATCCTCCTGAGCTCTTATAGCATTCCCAGGTGTTCCTTCACTATAGTGTCTAATGCATTGTGTCACAATTATTGGTTTATCATGTGCCCCTCGATTTAAGATCTTTAAGGGCAGGGACCACCAGGTACATTGTAAACACTCAGTAAATATTGAATAAGTAAATGAATGAATTAGTCCATTCCTCACACTGCTACCAGCAATATCTTCCTAAAAACATGACTTTCATGACTCTCATTAGCTTAGCCCATGCTGCCTTTTTAAGTTCATTTCCTGTTTCTCTTCACCTTACACCACAGCAAATGTACTCCTTGAACACATTCTTGCTTTTGGCTTCTGTTTCAACCATCCCCTCATCTGAAAATGCCCTTTCTTCCGATCTTGGCTTATTGAAATCCTTTCCTTTTCTCAAGGACATCCCATCTCAGATGGCACTTCTTTCATGAAACCTTCTGAGATTCCCAAGCCTCCTCCTTTTTCTGTGTCTCCCCAGCATATTACATATATTTCCTTTGAGAGTTCATTCCATTCTGCCTAGTATTATAGTTAACTTGAGTTCATATCTGTCTTCTCCCCAGATTATAAATTCCTTAAATGCAAGAACTCTTCTCTATACCTAGTACAATGCCTTGTATATAATAGGCGCTTAATAAATTGAATTTAAATGAATTTGAGATGAAAAGTTGCCTTCTTGGGTTCCAAAGGCCTCCACTCTTTGTATGTCATTTCCTTCCCTCTGCCTGTGGACTAAGGTTTTAATGATAGTATTTATGTTCCCTACAGGTGGCCTATGACATGGGGGATTACTACCATGCCATTCCGTGGCTGGAGGAGGCCGTCAGTCTCTTCCGAGGATCTTATGGAGACTGGAATACAGAGGATGAGGCAAGTCTAGAGGATGCCTTGGATCACTTGGCCTTTGCCTATTTCCAGGTAGGGGAGTAAATGAGACTCATTAGTTTCATCACAATAAATGTAATGCTTTATATCTGCTTTACAATTTTCTAAGCATTTTCATGTTTCTTAACTTATTTCATCTTCCCAACAGGACCAAATGTGAGTCAAGCAGGGCAGTTGTTTTATTATTTCCATATTTCACATGTGAGTAAACTAAATCTCCCAAAAATTCCTAACTTGTCACAAAGTTCAAAGAGCCGGGATGAGACCCCAAGTCTGTCTGACTCTTAGTTCAGTGCTGTTTCCAGTGCACTGAATACTTTAACCCGTAGCAGTAACAGCTGCATCAACAAATGCTTAATGGGTTCATGGTCAATGTAGATCACTCTTTTGCACTTTCAACAACTCATAACTCTTCACAGATATTATGCCATGATATTGCGAATGTCCAAGGAAGAAGTTTGATTGCTACCGTCTTCCATCTGCATTGGAGTCCAACTGTAACATGACTAGTGTCCAGGTGTAGAGCTGGCCTCATTGGTCCATAGTACCAGCTCAATGCCACCTCCAGATGTTTTTCCTTGACACTGTTGATCTGAGACCTGTTGTGCCTCATGTGGAAGCTCATTTCCCTAAATATGGGAGCTGCCATCTTTTGGTATAGCTAACCCCATTTCCCAACAGACTTGTACATTCTTCAAGAATAGGCTAAAAAAGTCACTGCAGAGCCAATTCCTTAGAGTTTCCAAAGCTAATAAACCAGTTCTGCTCCCTACATTTCTTTTTCTTTCCCCCTTTTGCTGAGAAAAGGGGAGAGTTTGTGGGTGGTCCAATCCCACGAGTTGCTCCCAAAAGGTATCTGCTCTCAGTACAGCAAATGGTCTTGTTCCTCTCCTGGAAGTTTCTGGTAAGTGGGTCTTTGTTATAAAACTTTCCAGGGTACCCCTGCTAACTTCCCTGCTCAATTGCTACATATTAAAACTGAAATAGAATCACTGTGATGCAACAAAGGGCAGGAAGTAATTGAATTTTAATAGAGGAAGAAAATGGAGAATTGACACAGAGAGACTCGGAGAAGATAAACTAAAGCAGTTTACCCTGAAAGATAGGGTTTTAAATCGATGCCTGGTACTTAGTTTTGTTCCCCCTCCCGCTCCCCTGCCCCCCCATCCCCCCGTGATGACTTAGATTTCCCCTCTACTCACTGCTAAAATCTCCCTTTGCACAATCGTGCTTTGTCTGGTAAATTTTATTCATCTTGCAAGGCATAGCTCAAATGTCACCTATTTTGTAAAGTCTTCCTTAGTTCTCCTGAGACTCCACAGACTCTCCTTCTTTGTGCTCTTACAGCTCAATTTTTTTATGCAACAGTAATAGAACACATAAGGCATTGTCTTATAGACACTTTATGTTCCCCTTTTTACCCCCAGTAAATTCGAGATAAGTGTCTTTCCATAGACCTTTCGTTATCATATGAAGTTATATAGGGTGTGTGTATGTAATTTATACACACACACATGTGCAGTGGTACCTCGGTTTTCAAATGTCTCCTTTGACGAACATTTTGGTTTACGAAGGCCACAAACCTGGAAGTAAATGCTTCGGTTTTCGAACACGCCTTGGAAGATGAACACGCCACCCGGCTTCCGCTGAGGGCAAGATCCTGAGGCGTAGCTGTCAGCTGTTGATCCCTCAGTTTTTGAACATTTCAGAACTCGAACAGTCTTCCAGAACGGGTTACATTCAAAAACCGAGGTACCACTGTATATATACATATATATATATACCATGAAAAAATTATATAATTGTATTCTATATAATTATACATAATATTTTTTCATGATATATTTTAGTAAAACAATACTTCAGTAACTGCTAATAATGAGAGACAGTAGAGTATAGTAGTAAGCCATAGGCTCTGAAATCAGACAGAACTGGGTTCAAATTCTGTTAAAACTTGGACAACTGTAATACTTTCAACAATAAAGATAAATTTAAAAAACAAAAAAAACTTAGGCAACTTACTCCCTGGACCTCAGTTTTCTTATCTTTAAAGTGGGAATGATAATCATGCTGTAGGGGAGGAAAAATAATTTTCCTTCTAACCATCTGAGTTACTGGCTGAGATTTCCCTATAATAAAAGACAGATTAACAAGAGGAAAAATAAACAGAAGTTTACTAATATGTATACCTAATGTATATATGAAAGATACCTGGAGAAAAATGAGTAACGCTTTGAGGTAACCTAAGTTACCATCTTAAATATCATCTTCAGCTTATAGCAAGTAATAGTATAATAACTAGGTATGGTGCCAGATGGGGACTAGACTTATTGGGGTGATCACTTTGTGAGTTATATAAATATCTCATCACTATGTTGTACACCTGAAATTAATATAATATTGTATGTCAACTGTAATTGATAAATGAAAATAGAATTTTAAACAATACCATATTCAGCTAAAGACAAAGAAAGAAAGATGTGGGGAGAGACCAGTTATGGGAGGTTACCCAGAAAAGCATGGTAAACAAGGGTAAACAAGGGTTAAGCAGATTTTTTAAAAATATATACCTTTATTGATAGTTATGCGGATTTTAATGGATAAGATTCCCTTGTGATTTAGAGTCACCCTTCTCTTCATGGTCCAGAGAGGGAGAAACTTACAAATGGAGATTCCCTTACAAAAGGGTAACATCTACTCTGGTTTTCAGAACTTCTGTGGCTGCTCTTTCTCAAAATAATTAGCTTAGAATAATCCTTATGCCAAAGAGACATATTTTAGGATGGCATATTCTACTACCATTCAATGCTCACCTCAAAGAGTTGTTATGAAAATGTAGCTCATACATGTAAAGCCCTAACACGATTCATGACACATATGCACTCAATACATGGAAGCAGTTATGATTACATTACTCACTACAAGTGTATGGTCTCTTTTTTCATTTAACATTATTTAGTATACACATTTCCAAAGAAATTTAACTGAAACATCAAAAGTAACTCTAACATTGTTCTTGATAAAATATAACTTCATCACGTGAAAAAAAACACCCTGTATTTTAAAAATATGTAAAATTATAGTATAGTTCTCATCATCTCAAAAGAGTTTCAAAAATTACAACCCTTAGTTAACATCTGACATTATAAGATGTCAGCAGATTACTTAACTATCCCTCTGTTAAGTGTAAAACAGAATAATTCATGATATTAAACAATTAGAAAAAACCTGTATGTCCAACAGTAATGGAATGGCTAGGTCATCTGTGATGTCGTCTCTCCGTGAAATAAAATGCAGCCATTAAAAATGCTGTTTCTTGCCTGGCCAGTGTGGCTCAGTGGTTGAGTGTCGACCCATGAACCAGGTGGTCACGGTTTGATTCTAGTTCAGGCATAGGCCCGGGTTGCCCTGGTGTGGGGTGTGCAGGAGGCAGCCGATCAATGACTCTGTCTCATCCCTTTCCCTTCCTCTCTCTGAAATAAATAAAAACATATTTAAAAAATAAATAAATGGAATAAATGCTGTGTCTCTTGCACACCCATATTCATAGCAGCACTATTCACAACAGCCAAGAGGTGGAAGCAGCCCATGTGTCCATCAAAGGATGAATGGACAAGCAAAATGTGGTATATACATGCAATGGAATATAATTCAGCCTTAAAAAAGAAGGAAATCTGACACATGTCACAACATAGGTGAACCTTAATGACATTATGCTAAATAAAACAAGCCAGTCAAAAAGACAAAAACTGTATGATTCCACTTGTATGAGGTATGTAGAGAGTCAGTTTCATAGAGACAAAGTAGAATGGTGATTACCAGGGGCTGAGGGGAAGAGGAAATTGGGAGTTGTTTAATGGATACAGACTTTCAGTTTTGCAAAATGAAAAAATTCTGCTATTGGTTGCACAACAATGTGGATATATTTAATACTGCAGAACTATACACTTAGAGATGGTTAAGGTGGTAAATTTATTTTATGTGGTATTTTTACCACAATTAAAAATAATAATTTTAAAATGCTATCTCTGAAGACTATTTTTGTAATGATATATAAAAATACATTCTTGATAGCCATGTTGAGTGAAACAATCAGGATATGAAAATGTGTAAGAAATACGATTATAACTATGTAAAGACTATGTTATCCAGAGTGCTCGGAGTGCCTCGGTTTCAGTGGAATGTTTTTTTATTTCTCATGTGTTTTATGATGTGCTTAATATTGCTTTTATCACTAAAAACAAAAATTTTAATACACAAAAATAAAATGACCAGAAGGAAACAGACTTCTATCAATTCATCATTAGAGCAGGATGGCAGCCCACCTACACCTGGTTCTGTTCCCCGGGTTTGTCTGGAAAGTCCTGTTGACTTTTGACCATGTGTAGCCCAAGGTTGAAAGGCTACAGGGAAAGTTCATTACTATCTAATGGGAATGTTTCAGACTGAGTTCTTCTTTTGCCTCCCTCCTGTTGGCAGGAAAAAGGCACCAGGTGTTAGACTGGTGGAGTTAGACCGGACCTTGGTTCAGCAACCTCGGTACTTGAGTTGTGGCTAAGAAAGAATTCAGAGCCAAGACTCAAATACAAACAAAAGTTTATTTAGAAAGTCACAGAGGTAGGAAAAGTGAGCTAGCTGAGCATGGGCTCAGGAAACAAGTTATAGAGGCAGAAGAAGGGCCCTTGGAGCTTAGGAGAAAGAGAAAAGCAAGGAACCCGTGCCTGGGAGAAGGAGGTAGGGAAAGGCTTCGGTATGCTCCATAGAAAGAGCCTCACTGAGTCCTTCATCCTAAGGGTTTTAAGGCTGGGAATTTTAGGGGTGGTCTCAGGGCAGGATCTCAATAGAATATTCATCAGCTTCCCAGGTGTGTCCTTTCAGGGTTGTGGTCTCCATTGATTGGCAATTGACAGGGCAAGGGGGGGTCATTAGTCAGTGCAGCTGGTCCTGATGACAGCTATGGCATTGATTGTCTGGTTTTGCTGCTTTTCTGAATCTGGGGGTGAAAGACAACTGAGGCCTAGATGTTATCCCTGGAAGTTAATCCTTAAAGGAGTGGTCATGCAAGGGCCCACTTGGGACACGAATGAGGCCACTCTCTGGACCCTTGTTTTTCCTCCAAGGGGGTCTACCTCATGACTAGTGACATGCCAGGGAAGGAAAGGTCAGGGAAGGGTCCAAGCCTCATGACCAGAGATATGAAGGTCAGGGGGTTTGAACCATGTGACCAGCGATATGCTAGGGGAGGGAAGATTATCCTGGGGGCCAGGTCCGTGTTTCCATAGTTTTGCCTGTTGCAAGCCACCTGGGGCTTTCCACCCTGGTGATCTCCTGAACCTGGCCCAACATCCTTGCTCTGCTCATACCTAACTGCCTTCCACACTCCCACTAACTTTGTAGACTCTAGCAACTATTGAGCCTGAAAAAGAAGTTGTATTTTTACTAAGGCTTGTATAGTTTCATATTAAGTTTAATAATGAAATATACCCAAATAACACCTCCCTGCAGCTACATGGTTTTGCATGCTTTAGGATTTGAGAACGTTTTAAGAAAGTTTATTTTCATTTATTTTTCATTCTTCCCCGGTAAGGGTAGTAATAAGTCATTTGTAAATGAGGAGCTGAGGAGACCTGATTTATACCAGGGCTGCAGTCCTGAATTAGGACGGAGACTCTCCTCATTCTAGTATGCTGCTCATTTCAATGAGTCTTATTATCTACTTGTAGTAAGAATATTTTGTAATACTTTTGAAAATCCATTGACTGATTTGGTCAGAGAAGATCTCAGTGCAGTTAACTCCTTTTTCTCCCTTTTCTCTTTTTCTTTCTCTCTCTTTTTTTTTTAATAGGCGGGAAATGTTTCCTGTGCCCTCAGCCTCTCCCGAGAGTTTCTTCTCTACAGTACGTAATGATAAAAGATAAGTCACAGGTCTGAGTTACTGGGAAATCCCTGCTGCTCTTGGCCTTTAATCTCTGCAAATGGAATACAGCTCTCTATTTTTATTTTCCTAATTTCAGAATCCAAGTCACATTTATAATTTTGGATTAAATCTTACATACTGATTGATACATTGCTGGGGGTTGGGGGGGGATTTTTAAGTTAGTTGGAAAATGCTAAGAAGATAGTAACCTGTGCCTTTCCTCCTCCAGCCCCAAACAGTATATATTAATGCTGCTTCAATGGAGAACAAGTTCTGGATTGGGAGCCAGTTTCTTCAGGGCCATGTAAAGACCCAGGTTTGAGAAGTAGACCTGGGAACAGTTGCATCAATGGGAGCTGTGTGTGCAAGGAGATTGACTCAGCAGGATTATTCACAACTACTTACAAAGAGATATCAGTCTGCCCCTTTAGAGCGGGGCTCACTTTGCTATGCAAGCATCCTGCCAGTTAGTACAGAATTCAGCTTCAACCCTCACCATAGTTGAACAAGAAGGAGACTTGCTAGCTTAGCTCTCTGCTTGGATATTTTTGTTTAAAATTTTGGTAATAGATGGCTTCCCAGATTTTCCTTCAATAAGATACTTAGATGCTAAAGTAAAATACATAATCACTATAATGTTTTAATATTTATAAGATATTTTATGTAGGACTTTAAACTGTGTTTATCACTTTTTAATGACTCCATTTAGTAACGTTATTCCATTCTGATAATTTGGCAAACTGTAGGATAAAGAAGTATCTGTATCGTTTGGAAACACATGGGCAATTAGTGGTGCAGGCAAAATGAGAACCCCACATCCCTTTATTTCTTTCTGCTCAATTAAAATCTCTGTCTCTCCCAGAGAACCCAAGTTATGCACTATTATAGGTGGATAAGAAGGACACAGCAAATTGAGATTCCCAGTCCCATTTCTGGCTTTGCAGTATTTTCATTGGTGTTTTGGGTTCATCACTTCCATTCTTCAAAATTTTGTTTCTCCTTTTGCAGAAAAAAAAAAAATGGTAATTTCTGTCCCCTCCTTCCCTCCTTTGCCAAACCTGGGTCTTTAGATGTCCCTGAAAAAAGTGGCTCCCAATCCAGAACCTGTTCCCCACTGAAGCAATATTAACATATAACTATTTGGGGCTGGAGGAGAAATGTGGAGGTGATGGTTAGAAATACATTGAGCTCCACTGAGAAAGATGTTTTGGAAGCATGAGAGCAATTCATTACCTTCTTCTGAGAAGCACTGAGAATCCTACACAGAGGCTAGCAGGTCAGGAATAGCTGCCAACCCACAGGGCATCTTGCAGCCAAAGTGGGCACAGATAAGACACAAGACCCTGCAGGAACCCAGGCTAGAACCAGAGCTTTGTCCCATACTGCTCTGCTGTGTCTAGGCAGTTGGAATTTTGGAGGATCTGAAAGAGTTGGGAATTATTGAGTTTCCTGTTCTCCAGGAGGAAAAGGCTGAGTCTCTGCTATAGGCTTTGGCTCTCTCAACTTCTCTTCCATAGCACATATTTCATTGTAGCTAGTTATTTAATGTCTCTTTTCTCTGTTAGATTGTAAACTCTAGGAGGTTAGCCTCTAGCACAGTACCTGGTACATAGTAGACGTTCACTGAAGATTTACTGAACAGATGAGTAAATGAATGAATGAAAGAATAAAGCTTATCCCTTGTGCATAAAACTAACGATCACACAAGCCTAGAGCTGCCATCCAATGCTCCCTTGGTCTAAGAGTGTTAAGTCCCACTTTCCTTTCCAAAGTCCTTTGCACCTTCAGATCTTATCAAGCCCAATTCAATCTTTGTAAAATACCAGGTACTCTTCTGGGAGTGAGGGCCTTACATTCTCCTGTGCATGGACACAGGGGTTATCCAAGGTGTCGAGTTGCTGCTCGTGTGTGACTGTGAAGCTGTAGGAAACCTTGGCAGTACTCCCTGGGGCCACTGTTTCTTAATCTGTATTATTCCCTGCGCTGATTTCTCCCAGGCCCAGATAACAAGAGGATGGCCAGGAATGTCTTGAAATATGAAAAGCTCTTAGCAGAGAGCCCCAACCAGGCAGTAGCGGAGGCTGTAATCCAGAGACCCAATGTGCCCCACCTGCAGACCAGAGACGCCTACGAGGGGTTATGTCAAACCCTAGGTTCCCAGGTAGGATTTTTCAGGGAAACAGAAAAGGGGAACCTGCTTGGATAGAGAGAGGGTAGAATTGGGACAATATGAGAGAAAAGGCTATAAAAATGCAGTAAAAAAATAAATAAAGCTCACTTGGACGGCATCAGTGACCACATTCTGAATCTCCCACATCCCACTTTTTAATGCTGTAGTTCCCATAAATTAGTGCCAGCTCCCAGACTCTTTCCTCTTATGCTGATTCTAGTCATTCCTTCCAGCCCACTCACTACCAGATCCCCAGCCTCTACTGCTCCTACGAGACCAACTCCAGTCCCTACCTGCTGCTCCAGCCTGTCCGGAAGGAGGTCATCCACCTGGAGCCCTATGTTGTCCTCTACCATGACTTTGTCAGTGACTTGGAGGCTCAGAAAATTAGAGGTCTCGCAGAACCATGGGTGAGTATCCACAGTGCCTGCCAAGAGCTGCCTTTTGTCTTCACACACCCAGAGCTCAGGCATGTGAGAGTGTGCAGCCTGAACAGCTAGACATTTCATCAGTCCAGGAGTCTGAAATGACAACCATTCCATAAAACTAACCGATGGTGAAAAAACACAGTAGTGATTGCCTCTGAAGGGAGGGGATTGGCTGGGAAAAGGTACAAGGGATTTTCTGGGGTGTTGAAATGGGCTCTCAATATCTTCTTAAGGATATGGAGTACACAGCTGTGGTCATTTGTCAAAGCTCGCCAAATGGTATACTTGAGTTCTGTGCATATAATTGTATATCAGTTGAACCTAAAAAAAAGAAGATATCCTTCCCAAAATATCCATTATTTTGTGTGATTGGTGGAAGGGGGGAAAAAAAAGAGGTGGAATGACAGGAGCAAGAGAGATATCCTGGCCCAGATTTACAGAATTACAGAGTGGATAGATTATTTTGTCCAGCTTTATTATTTTGTTAAAAGGGAAACTGAGGCCCAGAGAGGGGAAGGGACTTGATTAAGGTCACACATGTAGCTAGAGCAGGACAGGAACGTAGAGGTGCATTGATTGTCACTCTGCCAGTCCACCTCCCTGTATCAATTCACTCAGGCTAATTTCCGTTCGGTAACAAGCACACCCGAAATCTCTGGGACAGCAATACCAGTCTGCTGCTTTCTCCCGTTACATGCTAGTTGTGGGCTGATTACAGCCCTGCCCCAGCTGTCTTCACTCTGAACCCAGCCCGACTGAGCAGCCTCTGTTTGGGACACAGCCAGTCTCATGGGAGAGGAAACAGACAGAGGTGGCAAACTGCTAGCTGGCTCTTAATGCTTCTGCTTGGACGTGTCAGACATTACTTCTGTTCACATTTCGTTGGTTAAAGCAGTGTGTGCGGCCACCACTGCCGTTGAGAGGGAAAGAATATAGAACTCTCCCACGGGGAAGACACTGCAAGTCGCTAGTCGCTGTGCCAAGCTTGACATCGATATAGAGGGGACATTTCATTATCCCCCAGGAAGTGTGGCAAATATTTAGAAAAATAATACAGTGGAGTCTACCTCACCACCACAACATGTTGCCTTTTTACAAATGGCACCTGAAGACTGTCTCAGAATTACTTCTGTCACTGTGCCCCTCGTGGTGCACTGTTCATGCAGCAGCCCAGCAGCCCATCAGGAGAGCAGAGCCTGCTGTGTGCCAGACACCATACTGGGTGCTGGGCTTCCATGGAGAGATTAAGCATGGGTCCTCTCCCTTTAGGAATGTCCTGCATGATGGGGAAATAGATATTTACAAAACAGTGTGCTGTGTGCTTCAGAGAGGTGTCTGCAGGCAGTTGTTATGGAAGCATAAGAAAGTGAACCTTCTTGCCCCAGCCAGTTTGGCTTAGCAGTTAGGAAGTCGGCCCTCGGACCGAAGGGTCCCCAGGTTCGATTCTGGCCAAGGGCATGTACCTTGGTTGCAGGTTCGATCCCAGGCCCCAGTTGGGGCGTATGCAGGAGGCAACCAATCCATGTGTGTCTCTCACATCAATATTTCTCTCTCTCTTTCCCTCCCACTCTCTCTGAAAAGCAATGGGGAAAATATCCTCGGGTGGGGATTAAAAAAAACACACAAAAGAAAGTGAACCTTCCTCTGAGGGAAAGGCAGTTGGGTGAGGGGTAGCTGAGGGGAGAGGAAGAAACAGAGAAGGCTTCCCTGTGGACATGAAATTCATCCCAGTGACAAGGCGGCAAAGTGTATTCCAGGAAGACAAAGCAGTCTCTGTGAGGACCTGAGATGCAGTGTGTTCAGGAAATGGGGGAGCTCCGTGGCTGATGTGTGCAGGGATGGGGCGGGTAGAAGGTGAGGCTGCACGCTGCGGCACCTTTAGAAGCGCTGTCAAGACCGCGCTGGGGGATTTGGATTTTATCCCAGAGGCAGGGAAGAGCTGTCAGACATGAGAGTAGCAAGGTTGGTCTTTAGATTGTAAGGATTCTGACAGCAGACATGGACTGGAGGGGAGAAGCAGCAATAATCATTCCACCTAAAAGCCAATCCAGTGAAGTACAGAATCTTTGCAGAGAAGGTTTTTGAGATGATTGAGCTCCAGTGGGTAGCTGAACTATGTCTTTTCAATAGCTTCGGCTTCTCTGCGAGCCAGCTGGAGCAGTTGGCCAGCAGCTACTTTTTCCTGAGAACAATTCTGTTGCCTTGGTAACAGGACTGGCGGTTCACCGGGAGATATTCACTTAATCCCTCATGGCCAGGTCATCTGTTTGGCATGCACAGACCTTGCCATACTCCCTTCCCAGAAACGTCTTGCTGGGGTGGCTCATCCCTGTCTGATCTTTGGCTCTTCCAGGAATATGCCCTGGCTTATGTGGTGGCGGCTGCTGCATGGAAGCTAAGCACAGACACCTCAAAGGCTTGTGTTGAATTTATCTGCTTCCTAGTCACTGTCCCTTTACCAAAGAATGCTCTCTCACCATCCCCGCCCCCACCCACATCCACGTTCTCTACATACTTAAAGACTCGGTTGAACCCCACGCCTCCATTGGCCCACTAGCCCTGACCATGTGGCCCACTTTCATTGATTCTTTCAGTGGAAACATTTTTTCAGAATACTTTTTGGGGGCCACATACAATAACCTCTCCCTCTTCTGAACTGAAAGCTTTGTCACCAGTTGTTTGGTACTTTCATTTATTCTGCTATTTATGTGTCACCTGGTATCACAGACAGTTTCCTGGGTGAACATCCTGTCCCCACAACTAGACTGTAAACTAGCTGAGATCATATTTTGTCCTAGAAATGCCTAGCCTTGTATCATACCAGCTGCAACCAGAGTAATTTTTAAAAGGTTGAATCTGACCATGTCAAGCCCTTGCTTAAATTCTCTAATGGGTCACTTTAAAAAATATATCTACTTTAGAGACAGGAAGGGAGAAAGAGAAAGAGAAAAACATTGACATGAGAGAGAAACATGGGTCAACCGCCTCCCGCATGCACCCCAACCAGGGATCAAACCTGCAACTCTGGTATGTGCCCTGACTTGGAATCGAACCCACCACCTTTTGGTGTACGGGACAACGCTCCAACCAACTGAGCCATACCGGCCAGGGCACTAATGGGTCGCGTTTGCTCTTGAATGATTACGAGCTCCTGGGCCTGGCTGCCACTAACCCTTCCCATAGCACGTCCCCCTTGCACTCAACACCCCAGCTGCTACACTAAACTTGCATCCTCGCGCACAGGTCATACTCTCACTAGCCTCCACGCACACTCTGCTCTCTGCCTGAAATGCTCTTGCCTTGACCTCTTTTCACCTGTATGATTTCAGCTGCTTTTTGGGCATCCTGGGGGGCCTCTCTATCCCCATAAGAATGGGCTAGGTGCTCCTTCTCAATATTTACATAGCATTCTGTACTTGCCCCTTAGGATGCCATTGCATGACTTATGTCTGGTTTCATATGTTATATTTCCAATGCCTAACACAGTGCTTTGCACAGAGAACAACTAATAAATATTTGTCCCCCAAAATGAATGACTTGTAGGTGTACAATAAATGTTAAAGGAATTAAGTGCAAAGTGGTTCCTTAATGGTGGGAGTGAGGAAGCAGAGATTCCCTAGGATTTATTTATTACTTTTTTTTTTAGATTTATTTTTTTTAGAGAGAGAGGAAGGAAGAGGGGGAGAGAGAGAGAGATACGTTGATGTGTACGGGATGACACCCAGCCAACTGAGCCACACTGGTCAGGACTAGGGTGGTATTGTTTTTTAAACCACTGGTGTTGCCCTAAAAAACAGAAGAGAGCATTGCTTCTCTATGAATCTCTCCTCTGGCCTGTGAACAACTCCAGAGAAGATGCGGGGAGCAACTGGTGAAGGATTAGGTAGAGGCAACACCAGTCGCCTACTGATTTCCTGCATCTGGATATTGTAGGGTGATAGGAACTCCCAAGAACATGTTGTTCACATGCTGCATTTTATAGCTGGGGAAACGGATCCAAGGAAAGGAAGAGGCTTTTCCAGGGGGATCCACCTGGTTCAGGAGCAGGAACAATAGCATTACAGAAGCCCTGGGAAGGGAAAGGGTTTTTGTCTTATGCAGTCCTTTGGCCCGTGTTCTGCTCTGACTGCATGTGAAGTGCCAGGGCTGGACCTGTAGGCACAGGACTCTCTTCATCTCTCCAGTATTGAGCAACCCCTCTCTGCCAGGCCTTCTTTGGGCCCTGGGGGTTCAGCACTGACAAAAGACCAAGTCCTTGCCCTCATGAAGCTGACATTCTGATGACAGATGCCAAAAATAAACAGTATTTCTCTTTCTATCCCTGGTACAGTGCTTTTACAATTAGAAGCCACTTTATTTAAAAATAATGTAAATTTTATGTCCAGTCATTCAGCTAAATTAATGACTTCAAACCTGTTTGGTTCTACTCCCCCCCCCCC